GGGGACCAACCTCCACAACCAAATGTGTCCAAGGGGGCGGTTGTATAACTGAAGGGTGAAGTAAAGCAACACAAGACAAGGGATGCAGGGGCTCACCTCCGCCACGGCATCAGGAACAGGTCAGAGCAGAGAGAGCATGTCATGTATTCTCTCACCAGCTGATGTAATCTCAGGCATGCAAGCCCCAGGAAGCACATACGTAAGAGGAAGGGGTTGTATTAGAGATATACATGGAACACAAGTGGGGTGAGCTAGGAGTAAACACACAGAAGGAAGGGGTTGCACTAGAGGCATACATGTGACATGAAGGTACATATGTAGCAAGATGGGGAGGTTCTAGAATCCAGATGGCAGCCTAACCTTGGTCGTCCCTGAGTTGGCTTGCCCTCAGGTGTCTTTGAGCTCTTCTCCAGGGGAACAATCCATGATCCTTATCAGAAGGGCCTGGTCGGTACTTAGGGTTAGATAGTCGAATTGCTTTCTATGGCAAATAACCTTTAGTTGGATAGCCTTCAAGCAGTTGACCTTCAAGAGTACAGTGAGCGACCATGTATTTGCAAACAGCACCTTAAAATTGGCATCACGGGGGACACTGAGGGAAATGACTTTTACTTATGAGACTGCCTGGAACAAATCTCAGACTTGCGAACATGAAGGTCTCCCCCCATGGGAGCCCCGGCCTCCCAGGCTCCTTCGCATGTAGCGCTGAGCGTTTGTCCACATACACTCTCTTACCGGTTCTGTTTCCCACAGACAGCACTTTAACGACGAAGAAAAAACAAAAACAAGGGAGGTGCTGTCAGCCATCCAAACAGATGAGTTTGAAAAATGTCTCCAAAAATGGAATCGTAGATTTGACAAATGCATTAGAGAATACTTTGAAGATGATAAGGTTGTTTTGTCAAAAAATTTAAATACATGACTTTGAAAAAAAATTCCACTTGTTTTGTTTTTTGGGGGGTACCATGCACCATAGTAACATAAACTCAATGCCCCCTAAGCAACAACTCTTTCTCCTTCACCATGGAAACCATTGGTCAGGTTGTTTTAAGTACCATTGTTTTCTTGATATAGTACCCACGCATCACACACTCCTATGGTTAAATCACTTTTTAGAGTTGTATATACATCAGGTAAGTTCTAGCGCTCCCTCCCTCACCTGATCTTGACTGTTGCTTCCATGAGCATTGATTGAAGACCCAAGCAAGAAGAGACCCTTGACAACTTCAATCTTTTCTGTTTATCATATTGGTCCCTTGTTTGTTACAACTGCCACGGGATCCGTGTACAAGTTCTTCATGAGGGCAATGAACTGTTCTGGAATTCCCATTCTTTTTAAAAGGTATCTATCGTTTGTTATGACCCACACAGTCAAATGCCTGTTGTTAGGTGCTGTGTCAGTCTGGGTACTTTACAGAAACAAATCCACAGAAGCTCATGTATGAAAGTTTTATGTAAAAGAGAAAGTTTTATGTAAAGGTTAAGTGCGCATCAAGAAAACATCCAAACCCAGTGCTGCCCAAGCCCACAAGTCCAACATTAACCCATTAACTCATATCCCCAACACCAATCCACAAAGTCCTCCTCCATCTCGCAAAACAGATGCAATGATGCCGACTGCAGGAGGAAAGCTGAATCAGTGAATGTGTATGCATCTCAGCGCTGGCAGGGGTCTCCACACGGGTGCTCCAGCACCCAGGGCTGCATCGGGGTAGGTCCATGTGGCTTCTCCTCAGGAATGTCTTGCAGGAAGTGAGCCATGTCAGCTGAAGCAGGGGACTTGCTAAGGCAGCTGCACCCTGGTCCGACTATCAGAAAGCAAGAGACCTGACAACTAGAAAGGCCAGGTTCACTGAGGCATTTATCGCTCCAACCTTCAATTAGCCCCAAATGTGTTTATCGGCCAAGTTGGCACAATAAACTAACTAACTCCTATCTCCTGCCAATCCCAGGAGCCATCAGTAGACCATGGAGCTTGGATCCATTCAGCTCAGCATCCACCAGCCTGTGGTCCTCCTGTTTCCTGTTCATCAGCTCCTGTAGCTGCAGAAGTCAGAAGCCTTAAGCAGAAAACTGAAGTGGAGACTGGCTGTGATCTGCAAGGTCATCAGTTTGAAACCACCGGCTGCTCCACTGGAGAGACAAGGCTTTCTACTCTCATAAAGGGTTACAGTCTCGGAAACTCAAAGGGGCAGTTCTACCCTGTCCTAAAGGGTTGCTGAGTTCATAGACTCTAGGGCAGTGAGTCAGTTTTGAGCCCTGGAGGTGTAGTGGATTGAGCTGGGATAACCACAAGGGCAGCATATCAATACCATCAGCTACTCCACGGGGGAAAGGCTAGGCATTCTGCTCCTAGAAAGACTTGCAGCCTCAGAAACCCACAAAACAGTTCCACTCTGCCCTATAGGGTTGCTATGAGTCAGAACAGACATGTGGCCATGCGTTCCGCCATTCTCCCAGCAGAGGGCGCCCAGGCACCATTCCCGGTGGCCCAAAAGCCCCGGATAAGCACGTCCCACTTTGCCATGTCCCCGCCCCCCCCGCCTGCCCCCAGCCCCCCAGATCTGGCTATTTTTATGCGATGTCACCAGATACCCAAGGCTGGAAGGCCATCGTCTGTCTGCCCTTCGGTCCCTGCGAGTGACCCTGCGGTGTTTCCCTGGCTCACTTCCTGAGAGGCCTGGCTTCCCCTCGCACGCACCCAGTCCCTGGCAGGTGTGAAAAATGTCACAGAGAACCTAGGTGGAGACCACCACCACCCTACCCCAGGGCACAGGACAGCGCATGTCCAGATGTCCTGGATGGACAGCCACCACAGCGGTCATTGTCCACTCACTAAGAACCCGTGTGGCGATATTCAGAGAGATAGAGACGCTCCCCTCAGCCCACCCCCCACATGCCCCTGGAGTCATAATCAGATACTGATTGCGGATCTGACCCCAACATCCAAGACCAACAGAGAGAGGCTGGAAGACCGAGGTCCGCGGTAATTCAGAGCCAAAGGGGAAGAGAGAGAGAGAGAGAGAACCCCGTGAATCAGAGGCAGAGACAGGAGGCCGAGAGATCAGGAGGAGTCAGAGATGAGTGAAACAGCTGGAGGCCAACGGAGACAAAGAGATAATCCAGGGCCACAGAGACATCGCAACGCAGAGATGGGCAGAGCAACAAGAGTCTACGATAGAGAGGCCTAGATGGAGATGCACAGAGACACAGTGCGAGAGGGGGAAATGGGTGGGTCTTGCAATGGGACTCGGATGCTCCTAGAGACGCCAAGGGACAAGACACACGGAGAACCGCCCAGGGGCTGGAACCTTGGGGGGCAGAGGGAGCCAAGGGCGACTGGCCGGGGCGAGGGGGCGTCCGGGTGCAGCGGCCCGG